ATGAAGTACTCCCAAATATCAGTGTTGATGTAGAACACAATTCCATATGTGCCCTAAGTCAAATATGTTGTAAGGGAGCAATCCTAAGCTTTTGGGAAGGGCAGCTGGGACAATGTTGGATACTGCAGATCTCCATTTCCATGGCCAGAAATGGAGGCCCACAGTTGGATGGAAAGGTCCAAGGATGAAGGTCTGCCCAGTGTGGAGCCAGAAAGTCCCACATTTACTGATCCAGCCTTGGAGTTCCACTGACTCCAAAGCTCCCTACATCTCCAGAACCAGCAAGGGAAAGGGGGGAAATAATAATAAAAACAAAAGCGTCCACTTCACCATCTGCTGTAGTCTGTGCAAGTCCAGTCCTCTGCTGTGGACTTTATCCTGTCAGCCCACATAAGACTGTTTTGTCTAATAATCAAGAATTTGGTAGCTGTTCTAGGATACTGGTCTTTTGGTGGGTTATAATAAAGGTTATACTGAGTATTTTTATTATATTTGCAAGTATGAGGTCAACTCCACATATTAGGTGTCCCCTAGCAAACACTTAAATTAGGTGAGGATATATTTATACCACATGAAATAGCATCATTCAACACTTCTATCAGTTTCTCCACTTCTCTGTAGACCTTCAGTAATACCATCCGGTCCAGTGTTGGACTACAACACCAATAGATTGCCAACAACTCCAAACAGTTCAGCAGTTCTACCCAAGGCATGCAGGAAAATATCTCCACATCAAAACAGTTTCTTTGCCTTCTGGGGAAATAGCAGGTGGCCAAAGTCACCACACACCCTATCCCTTCAGATAATACCCTCAATAAAATGAAAGCTTTCGTGATCAGATTGTTGGGTGCATACGGAGTACCCATCAGAGCCAGTTCTGCCATGATGTTTCACATCTCCAGGATGCTTTTGGAATGGATTCTGTGATTTGAACATTTTTCCATGAGAATGGGTTGGGCATATATCATATTCAAATGTGACACCCTGAGCTGAAGCTCCCCCACCCCCCATTTCTTGTTTGAAGAGCTAGTTCATTGAAGGATCTCTGAAATGACCCATTTCCAAAACGGAATTGGAATCTCTATGAATAGTCCTATCAGCTAATCTGTAGGTTCACAATGCTACACTAAAACTTGCACTAGCTAACAGAAGCAACAATAGGTCTGTTTACACAACTCCACTGCCACTACCACAATAGATTAGCAAATGCATGACAGGAAGTGAAATTGTCTTCACTGGTGCATTGCCAATGCACTTGTTAACTATGTCCACTAGTGACTGCACATTTATCAATAGAATGAAAAGTTCCCCTATATATGCTGTATGCATGTGACTTTTTTTTTTACCCTATTAGCAAATGTGTGCACTGGGACATGTGATCAGTTGGTACAAAAGCATATGGAGCACAGCCAGCTGATACAGTAACTGCTCCCTCGTCACATGTTCACTGAATCTGTGAGTGAGGATTATGTGTACAGTCTTTATGATCAACTCTGGTGTGCAAGATTAGGGGAAGAGGACACCATGATACTTTGCACACACATGTTTATAAAGAATCACTTGTTCCACTTATCTCTGACTCTGAATGCCTTGGGTAGCGCCAAGGTCGAGTGCATGTGGAGACTTCTCATTCATTTCTGGGAAATGAAATTCTACTTGTCTACATAAATATTCTTCAGCAAACATATGTTAAACTCCACGAATCACAGAATAAAACCTAGAGCACAAAGGAGGCACATCAACATTCTCACAGAGAAACTGAAGTATGCACCATATATAAGGCCTTTTAAATTCAATTTGCAACTATATTTTAGCTGCATTTGCAGATTTGAATATGACATCATTTGTGGAAGTAGGATACTGAAGAACTCAAGTACCTTGAAATGCATCGTCCTGTCATCCAAAACGTAATTGTTGCATGATCCTACCCTGAGACATACATGCAGGGACAGCCATTGGGTGAGAGTGTGTGGAAGATGCTAAAGCTATAGTTCAGAAGGATGTATGGATCTAGAATTGGCCTCCACAGTCACTTACGGACTCACTGTTAAAACTGTGTTCATGGAAGACAATCTTACTTGTCTACGAGTGATCACCAAAGAAGAAGATGATAGTTCAGATGAAACAGAGATGGGGAAAACACTTCCTGTCACTGCCAGCAGCATCACATTCAAAGTCATTCTGAGGACCGTGATATTTTTGCTTCCATATTTCAGAAACCAGGTGGAACACAATCATTAATGTACAAAGCTTGAAATACCATGCACATCTCCTTCATCCCCAGTGTTTACTTTATTAAGTAATTTGTGCCAACCACACAATGAAATCTGCACGCTATTTTTAAGGCATTGTTTTCTTGCCAATTGGGGTGGCAGGGGGAATTACCCAGGTGCCATATAGTAGTATGGTTTAATTGCTAGATTTAATTATGTTTAATTGGTGCGACAAACCTTCAGATTAACGAACAACACAGACAGACTATGATGAATCTTCACACTTCAAAGAGTTCAAAACCAGGTTCCTGATCCAATGTTCAGGAGCAGTTATTAGAACTACTTTAAACCAGGAGAACCACAAATATGGTAAATGAAAACGCTTAAAGTGCATTCATATTTTGCCTTTGGAACCAGCTTTCAGAGATATCAGCTCTGAATACAAAGGTCAGACCAAGGTGTTTGGGCCACCAAAATAAGTCTATAATTCAAGCCCCCTTTGTGCTGGGTGTATCTGTGTGTGGATTGGATGGAGGTGAGCAAAGGGACACTAGTGTTGCTCTGCCAGCACAGACCTTGTTCCACTCGCTGAACGTGAAGCTGGGTGGAAGTACCACTGGTGGGATCCCTGTGATAGCCTGCAGAAAAACCCAAAACAGGGTGCTGCAAGAGTGAGATGGGACTGGAAGAATGGAAGCTGCAGCCACATCCTCTTCTTCCTGCCACTCAACTGACTTGCCAGAGGGACATCACAATTTACGGTACATAAGATTGGACTTTGCCCTGGGAGCAATGGGTTGCCCACTTCTGAACTAGAGACAGAAACAAACAAGAGGTTTCTGGGCAAGTACAGATACTAACCTGAGAATGTGCATGTTTCCCAGTGAATCTGTAAAATGCAGTCAACAGATGCACATTCCCTAAGGCCTGTTGCTGATGATGGATCTTGCCTGGAGAATGTACAAAAATCTGTTGACATATGCACATTACTCAAGGCCTATTGTAGACTAAGCAGTTATATTGAACAGGAAATGTGTGTGTTACGTGTACGTGATCCATGAGATGTGGTGTATGTGCACAATGACCAGTTGTTATGCACATTAACCACTCTACTCACAGCATCTCTAACATACACATGGGTGTAGAGAGACAGAAATGTGAGGTCAGATGGAAATGAAATGGGGGGGGGAGTCCTGTAGCAAATCCATTAAAACTGAAATGTGTGCAAAATAAACACAGTGACCATTTACAACAGCAGCAATTGATAAAACAAACATCTTAGCACTGCTTGATTCATGAGCTTTCCCATGTGCTTCCGTTCCACATTTTGCTGTTGGGAGTTGAATCCTATACATGCCTACTCAGGAGTAGCTGAACTACGTAGCTGCAGAATTGCAAACTGAGGGTCCCAACCCTTTATTTTAACACATTAGCAGCATTAGTGATTGAAAGCTATTTGCACTGCAGCCTCATCCATTCAGTTTTGAATCCCTTCCAGATGAGGCCAGAAAAAAAGCACAAAGTAAATACTGTCAGTGACAAAAAGAGTCAAATGAGGGTAAGGCTTTCCTGAATAGTACTTTAGCTCTCTGAAATTTATCAGAGCTATTATGTACAGAATTGGTTAAGCAGCAATATCCATCATTAGTAAAATTGTTTTCTGAAATCAAACATTTTGTAAACAGCAAATCCAACTCCTTGTCAGCTGTAATATAGCTCAGGCAACATATGCTGAGTGTGGTGGGTTTTTTTTAAAGGGATAACTAATTTGGTGCCCTCCAGTGTTGTTGGACTCCAATTCCCATAAGTCCCAGCCAGCATGGGAGATGATAGACATAATCCAACAGCATATGAAGGGCACCATGTCAGATCCTCCAAGTGTCCCTATTTTCCAGGGACAGTCCTGAATTTACAGAAGCCATCCTGGTTTCTGATTTGATCCTGGAATGTCCCAGTTTTCCTTAGGACATCCCTAATTTCATCAGAGAAATGTTGGAGGTATGGAGTTATGCAACCCCCAAACCAAGGAGATAAAGCCTTTAGAAGACATCTGAATGTAGTCCTTTATATGGAAGTTTTTAAATGTTCAATGTTTTATCATGTGTATATATATGTGTGTGTGTGGCAAGCCACCCAGAGTGGCCGGGGCAACCCCATCAGATGGGTGGGGTATAAATAATTTAAAAATGTTATTATTGTGGAATAGGACCCCCCTATTTTCATTGGAGAAATGTTGGAGGGTATGCCATCTTGACTACATGGTCATTCAGGAGAGGCATCCTGGATTACTGAACTTCTCCAAAAAGGAAACCCCTTTCAGTCCCATCATACCAAAGTTGCCTGTTGATGCAGAGGTAGACATTTCTGCAAGCAAATGGCATTGTAAAGGCTAGCCAAAGAAGCTGCCACGTGGTGGGAGTTGCCAGGCAATCTAGATTACAGCATTCATCATTTCCCTCTGTTTATTTGTATATCCACTTGCTTTCTATAAAAAGCCAGGGTGGACCTTTGTATACCCCAAATCCCCCAAATAAATAATGAGGTGGCCATATGCAATCTAGACACTTTTATATGCTAAAACACAGTTTGCTCCATTTTGTTCTTTCTTCCTATTTTATGACTGTAAAGCATCGAGATGCGGTAAACCTCTGACTAGCTGCTGGTCTTGTGAAGTGCAAGTTTGCATACCTTGTGGACCAGCAAGTGACATTGGCTTCAAAGCATATGCACACAAATGTTGCTGTAGACCTGAGTTGGCCATATTCAGAGGTGAGCCAAGGTGCCTACCTTTCGCCCCGCCTCGTTGTTGTGCAAATTCATGAGCGTCCTTGCATTCTGCTTAATCTCCCTTGCGTCCACAAACACTTTGGCGAATCCTATTCCATATCGGATGTCTGCAGAGCAGCCTCCCCATTTCCATCCTTCGTCTTTGTGGTACTGTCCCTGTTTTTCCTTGTCGCAGCCGCAGTCGCTCAGGTTCCCCTGGGTGCAGGCAGCAGTGATTGCATGCGCTACTCCAGCAGCAATGATGGCGTAGGTGAAGGCTGCTTCTCTACTACCTGAAATTAGGAGACATTTCTCAGTAAAGGATAGAACATTTGGAAGAACAGGGTAGGGGGTGGGGTGGGGGTGGAAGAGGGTGGAAGAAACTGTGCAAGTCCATGCAGTGGAAATGCTTCAAGGTTATTATTAGACATGCTATAAATATGCAAGACATAAGCATTTCTTGACATTTCAAAGTCCTGGTCTTTTGTTGATGTTCAGGCACTCCCAACAGAATCAATACACATGCTGTAGTGAAGGCAGTGCATTTTGCCATGTCCATAAAGGTAAAGTTACCAAACCCAAAGCGAATCAATCAGTGCTTAATGATGCAGGTAAGACTGCTGTATCAGAGTGCAACCTTGATTTCAGCATGGCTTTCAAAAACCCAAGCACACAGCTTCGGATCAGGCCAACACACGGCCAACGCAAGTGCGGTGCTATGTGTATTCAGGAAACCTTGATGATGTTGTCTTAACATTGGTCATGGTGATGAAGTTCATCCCACAGAAATCCAGAGTGTGGATCACCACTTGCATGCTATTTGCAAAGTGCTGGTTGTGAAGGGCACAGACTTCTCCGCCACACAGGTGTGCACTAGGCAGGTCTAGGACAAACTTTCCGTGAAAATAATCCAAGCTGAATTTTAAATAATGAAATGGAGTTATTAAATGGCCTCTGTTCTGTGCTTCATCCTGTCATAGTGATTATTTGGCAGTGATCACTAACATCACAGAAGTGTGTTAAGTTAAAAATGTGTGTCTGCACACAAAACGAAAATCTAGTTTTCACAGCCAAACTAGTCTGGGAATTATTTGTTTGAACTTGGGAATCTCACAAAACTACAGGTCCCAAGGATTTCTTGGGTGAGTTCACGACAGTAAAATTTGGTGTACAGTATATCTGGGGTTGTGGGTGTTATTGTTTTCTTTATTTTAACCTTGGAGACGTTCCAGGACCAGATTGGAGCCATGGGCTGCTATACCAAAATATAGACTAGGAGAGTATATTCTTCAGCCAAGGGTCCCTGAAGTCATTTGGGGTGAAAAGTTAAGGACAGACAACTTTTGGTTTCAAAAATGCTAGTATCTGGGCAGTATCCAGGATAGGTCAGGGGCTATAACTTGGTAAACTGCGGCTGGAGCAGGACCAACAGCATAAGCTTTCTTTTTGCTTCTGTAGCTTGCACTATGCAAGTATAGTGGCCTGAGTCAGTTAGTGTGAACAGGGCTGTCTTAAGCATATGTGGTGCCGGGGTGCAAAGATCCACCTGGCGCACCCCCCCCCCCAGGTTGCCCAGAGCTTTTTTTAGGGCGGGCTGGTGAGGCGAGCATGGCAGAGCTGGCCTGGCTGGCCGCCTCAACAACAACAGAGGAGGCCGAGGCGGCGGCGGCAGAAGAGCAAGGCCGGGGCCGGGTGCCTGGGGGGGGGGCAGGCAAGCAGAGCCCAGCGCAACAGCAGTTGAGCCCACGGCAGCGGCGACTGATCGCAGCCGGGTGCCTTGTGTGAGCAGCGTGCACTGGGCGGGCCTCTCGAAAGCCCACCAATCCCAGGCGCGCAGGAGGGCATAGCCGGCTGGCTGCCTCAACACCTCACTTGCCCGCAGAAGAGCTGCGGCCACCGGGACCACATAACACCGGTCCTGAGAGACCTGCATTGGCTCCCAGTACGTTTCCGAGCACAATTCAAAGTGTTGGTGCTGACCTTTAAAGCCCTAAACAGCCTCTGTCCTGTATACCTGAAGGAGTGTCTCCACCCACATCGTTCAGTCTGGACACTGAAGTCCTGCACTGAGGGCCTTCTGGCGGTTCCCTCACTGCAAGAAGTGAGGTTACAGGGAACCAGGCAGAGGGCCTTCTCAGTAGTGGTGCCCACCCTGTGGAACGCCCTCCCTTCAGATGTGAAGGAAATAAGCAGCTATCCTATCTTTAAAAGACATCTGAAGGCAGCCCTGTTCAGGGAAGTTTTTAATATTTAACGTTGTACTGTTTTTAATACTTGATTGGGAGCCACCCAGAGTGGCTGGGGAGGCTCAGCCAGATGGGCGGGGTATAAATAAATTATTATTATTATTATTATTATTATTATTATTATTATTATTATTATTATTATTATTACACTCTGCTCCGCTTGGCAGCAATTTTCGGCTCTTCCCAATCCCTGGACTCCAAATCTCGGACCTAGACTCTTGGCCTGGCACCCCTGACGCACCCCTAGCGCCTATGGGTAACACAGCCCTGAGTGTGAAGGAGCTGCACAGGGATCTGGGTGTGTAATACCACAGCAGCCATAGCCCAGTTGCCATATTGCTCTCCCATCACTCATCCCACCTTACAGAGAAGCTGTGGTGGAAGCATATGAAATGGAGCACTGGCTAGGCTGGACTTAGCCTGGCACTCACAGCCCATGTGTGTGAGTTACCCAGTTCAAGCATGCGCACACAGTCAAAACAATTGTGAATTTTAGTGAACGTATGTATTGTGAATTTAGTGAATTTAGTGAAAGTATGAGTTCTATATTCGGACAAAATCTGATAAGAAATCATCATAAATAGCCCTTGTTAGTCAAAGGCAGGGATTCCACCAAATTGTGTGATACATAAACATGCACTGGAGTAAATCAAATGTCTCTGAATTCCTGCTTCAGGTACTATAAGATACTGACAAACGTTTCACAGTTTGGATCATGGCTTCCAACTCATCTCCCTCAAGGACCTTGCCAAGATTATGGGGCACTTTGATGTTTTAAATGGAAGAGGATGCTTCTAAAATATTGTGCTCTCAATTTACATTTAGAACTATGTCTGGCCTCCACCATAATAGTGCCTTCCAGCTGTTTTAGACCACAGCTCCCATCAGCCCCAGGGAGTTCTGTGCTGGCTTTGAAGCCTCTCATGTCAGGGTGATGCACGCTGTAAGGTGATGCAGATTTGATGTCACTAGATAAATAACTTTTTTTTTCAACTTCTAAGACAGTAACTTCTGAATAAGAATATTATGGTGAGATGTTTATCAGTATTAACATGAAACCTGGCTAATACACAAAATGGATTCAAATTGTGGATTGATATCCAACTAAGACATTCTCAGAGTAGCTCCAGTGAAAGCAATAGTTAAGCCATTTGATTTCAGTGGCTCTCCTCTGAATATGACTAACATTGGATATTTACATGCAGCCAAGATATACAGTTTAGTCCAGCCAGGGTTGCCATATTTCAAAAAGTTAAAACCAGGACACCCCAGAAGTTGTTGAGCTTTTTATAGGAAGGCCCCAAAATTGTTGAGTCTTTTTTTTTTTTTTAGAAAACCTCCCAAAATGCCAAAAAAAACCCCCACGAATTTTCAATTGAGTTGCCTAAGATCCAGGACAAAGCGCCACATTTCAAAAATTCCCCCCAGGCGTCAAATCCACCTTTGAAATCCCAGTAATGTCCAGGAAAATCCAGACTTATGGCAGCCCTAAGTCCAGCTCTCTTGCCATTTCTGATGCTATGGCTGAGCAAGGTATCTTCCCCATTCTAAGTTATTGGAAACTTTAAGGACCTAAAATGTTTTGGCACAAATGTGCTATGGTTGGTACTTGAAATTCTTTTCAAACTCTGACCTTAGATAAGTAAATCTTCATAGCTACTTCAAGATACAATCCCAAATCTCTGGTACTTGTACATTGTGATTTGTAGAACAAGCATATTTCCGATGTTTCTGTTTAAAAGAAGCACCAAACCAAAAAGAAAGACTCAGGCACTTTATTCTCAGCAGAATCACTCACCACAAGTGATCTATATATTAATGCTTGTCTCTTAGCGGTTCTTCTACTGAAAACATCTACTTCCTTATCATATGCCACAAATAGCTAGCAGCATAATGGATTCAAGGATGACATCAACAAATTCAGTTAATAGGTACCATCACGGCCACTTAGCTGCAGGATATGTATTAATAGAATTGTATACTATCCTTTTTTAATGTTTAGTTGTAGTTTTTTTATCATTTATATAACTGCATGTAAACATAAGAGTTCTATAGTACTTTAGTAACAGTAAACTTTCCAAGGGGCTCCTTTGTCATGAGAATAATTTATAATTTAAACAGCTCCGAATGTATGAATTTGTACCAGCATATTTCATTTTAGCAGGATGTATTGCAGACTTTGCAGATTACAATTTAGAAGCTCAAGGTTTTACCACTTACATGGGCTGTGACCTTAACTTATTCGTAGCATTGGACAAACATTAAAATGTGTTTGATGGTAAATCCTGTTTATTATATCCCGTCCTTCCCACATCCCACCACAAAAGATGCGAGCAGCTTGTCTTGCCAAATGCAAGGTGGTTCTTTCATTTGGAATTCAGAAGCAATATACAGTGGTATCTCTAGTTACGAACTTAATTCGTTCTGGAGGTCCGTTCTTAACCTGGAACTGTTCTTAACTAGAGGCATGCTTTCACTAATGGGGCCTCTTGCTGCCTCTGCGCCTCCAGGACATGATTTCCATTCTCATCCTGGGGCAAAGTTCTCAACTCGAGGTAACTATTCCAGGTTAGCGGAGTTTGTAACCTGAAGCGTTTGTAACCTGAGGCGTTTGTAACTCGAAGTACCACTGTAAAACACAAGTGAGTGAGAAGAAGATTTTATTCCTAAACAGCAAACAATATATACATACCAGAGCCGTGCAATCTAAAGCTACCTGGGAGAGTCACTTCATCACTTCTTTAAGGGCTTCCAAGTGGCAGATAGAAGTGCATGTCCCGTATGTATATATTCCTTGCTGTTTAGGAATAAAATCTTCTTCTCACTCAGTTATGTTTTATATTACTTCTGAATTCCAAACCAAAGAACCACCTTGCATTTGGCAAGACACAGCTTCTCAGCTAATCAGTGGTGTAGCGTGGGGGGTGCAGGGGGGGCCGGCCGCACCGGGCGCAACATCTGGGGTTAGGGCAAATCCACGGGTTAGGGGGCGCAAATCCACGGGTTAAGGGGCGCAAATTACTTGCCTTGCCCCGGGTGCTGACAAC